TCTTACATGGAATGCGACAAACATATCGATGGTCCAGTTCCATACAGCAACAAGTCCAAATTTGGCCATTTTTAGTTTAATACGGCAATATGTCCAAAATTAAGTAGTTAACCTTTTGCATACAGCAAGAACTCGAAATGTTTGGACTTGTCAACTTTAAATTAGATATTTTCTTTTAGCGTTAAGCCGAATTTATAATTATTCTAGTTTAATAAAGCAACAATTAGACATGTTGCTCTTTGACTTAAAGGTTTTGGATAATTATGTCACTTTCATAGAGCAATATTTCGAGTTATTGTCTTATAGTACTGAACAAATCGTAAAATATCTTATGTTATTCGCAGCAAATTTTGAGATTAATTGCTTGTCACTATTTTTTGAGAGAATCGTGGCTTTGGTGTTTGTGCTATTCGCTTATTATAAATAGTTATTTAATTGCAAAATGGATAAATTACTTTGCATACAACTTTGTGACGAAACAGGTGCCCAATTGTTGCGTTTGGCAAGAAAAGATGCAGTTTTTTACAAAGTAGGCAACGGAGCCCTTAGTTTAAATTAATGTTCTTTTCAAATAAATAATAAAATAACGAAACTGCATTTAGAAAAATTACTACCTACTGACAATACTGTCATAAATGAATATGCAAAAGATGAAACCTCTACTATAATAAAAATAAATTTGGATCCAGAATATACAGCGGACTTAGAGGGTAGTAGAGTTGTGATAAACGGTTATTTTTCTGTAACGGGTACAACGTTCCAGTTTCACCTTGGTAATAGGTTTCAAAATACGGTTCCAAAAAGAACATGTTACTTTTTAAATTTTTCATTAAAAATGCAGAATGATGATAGTAGAAATAGTGATTTCCTTTATTAAAAACATAATTTTTAACATTCGTGAACTGAAAATTAAATATTCTTAAATCAAAAACAAAACATAGGTCCGAGGTAACTACTTAAAGAACAAAAAAAGTGATAATAATAAAACCATAGTGATTAAATAAAATATACGGATTTTATGCGAAAATGTTTACAAATTTCATTTTCATTTCAAATGAATTAACATTTAAGAACAATTTTTGCAGATGCTTTTTACTGATTCTAGTTCTTCGCGCGTTTATGATAACACCAGCTTTAGAAAATAATCTCTCGCATTTTGTTTCACAATAACATTAAAGAATCCACAATAACAACAAACAGAAATGCGTGTTTGGCAAACCTGGACGAAGTATTACTCGAGTTAATTTTGGTACCACCAAAAAATAATTTAAAAAAAATATGTCGACCTTACAACGTTTATTACTATTCAGACAACTTTCATTTTATCTCTGACTGAATTTATATTTAAAAATGGCCAGTTTGCTTAAATGCAGTGCACATTCTGCTTAAAACGTTTGTTATTTTACATTTCAACTGTGATAAAATTTGTCATAGACTCTTAGTTTGCTCATAGCTCATATGCAAGTCCACATTCTGCTTAGTTTGCTGCGAATGGGCATATAACTCCCGAGCTACGTTTCTTGAGAGAAATCCCTTTTTTAGACTAGAAAACTAAGTACTTATAGAATGTTGAATTATAACATCGCAGCAATTAAACAAATTTTCGCTGGTTCCTGGAGAACTGGACAGTAATTCTTATAAACGAAAGATGATACACAATCATCAAGGGAACGCGCAACTACACACAACATTATTTCCGTTGACAAATGGTTACTGAAATTGCTGCAACTGCATAGAGCGCTCGACGGTGCCGCATCGGTTCTGTGCTGACGCGAACCATTTTTTCAGGTTCATGAGACTGTTCCAAGAACAACCTTTAAATCGACAAACGGCTATAGCTGGTGCGAAGTGCGCACAACTGTTTCTGTTTTATAAGACGGTTCCAAAAAGAACGGTTTAAGTTGGCAAACGGCTGCAGCTGGATAGATCGCTTGACGGTGTCTGACGTGCGCACCGGTATTTCGGATTTATGAGACGGTTTTAAAAAAAACCGGTTAAATCGGCTAGCTGTAAATACGGTTTCAGGTTAGACGTTTGGAACACTGTTATTTTAGCGGTTACGTTAAATACCGTAAATAAATATACGTTAAATACCGACCATCCCTACAGGGTCACTATCATACACCACAAAATACCGGCGGGATCTCCTCAGAAGAACCGTTGGGCTCCGCAGCTGGCAAAGTACCGAAGGGTGGTAAAAAACTCTTGGGGTGGCCAGGCGGAAAAACCACCAAAACTGTGCTAGGTAGACCCTCAGGGGAACCAGCACACCCCAAAAAAGCAGCCATGACCGGGATGCAAAAGCGACACCGGTCGGACGGCAGCATACCCAACAAGCCAGCACCTTGGCGGCTGTATGTGGGAACTTCCGTATAGGAAGCAACCACACACAACCGGGATTAAGATGGCCATAGCGGCGGTCGGATATCCCGAGAATTTTCTCCTCAGCAGGGAGAACTCATAAATAGACTTAGGAAAATCGACGAGCTGCAGCCAGGGATGACTACCAGACCAGGTCATGCGTCGTACCCCCCCCAAGGTTCTTGTGGAATTCATTGAATACACAGGGATAATGAGGGAGTAAAATACGAGGGCACAAGAGGGCAGAAATGATCGCGGTGCAAGGCCAAACACCACCTCGGCGGTGAGGAAAGGGTTTTAGTGGGTAAACAGCTTARCTGGAGTCCCACACAACCCAGAGCGACAGACCACCAGCTCTGGGAGTGCATAAAAGAGCATTTCCCAAACCTCACCGGAAAAAAAAATCCCTACAGGGTCGATACATAAAACAATATAGAGGAAAACATTATGGTTAAAAAGTACCTACCTAAAGTTTAACACTTAGAATAAGAAGAGCACATTATTATCAACTATGATCAAGTTGTTGAGTTTTCTTTGGCAGATGATTTGCAGGGACAACAGCAGAGTTTTTAAATGTGGATACCCAGAACATGGTCCAAGTTGGAGATAATATTGCAAATGAGTTTGCTGAGGAGATACATACCATTACGGCAAATACCATTGAAGCTAGTCTGGCAAATGTACAGGCACAAGATCAGAATTTATCTCAACAGAATTCACCTCCTTCAGATACTTACAATCAGCATTCTATTGACATGGATTCTAACTGTTCGCCTGACAACTTTTCTACCTACTCTTTTGAGAGCGATTCTTTAAAATCCAGTGCAGAATTTAACCTACCGGAAACTAAATAATGCAGAAGCTGTCGCTGAAGATGTTAATAACCAAGACAATGAATCTGATACTAATTTGACTAGAAAACACTTACAAAATCCTGATAAATGGAAAAGATCGGTCGCTAAGAAGAGAAGAAATAACGGATTACAATATGTTAATATCCGAAAAGAAGCAGTTGTTGCTTATAAAGTTGGACTGCCTTTGCAATGTATGCACCAAATCAGTCCTAAGTATAAAATGCATACATCCAATAGTAAAAGTCTAATAACTATGCTAACCACTTTGAATTAAACGGTAAAAAATAGGGTATGCAACACATTTTATCTGAGAACATTGGGCATAAGCAATAAACTTATATTTACTGCAACCAAGACAAAAGATGAGAGTGGGGTCCTGCAGCTAGATATGTGGGGAAAGAACAAGAAAGGTGGGAAGAAAGTAAACACATAAAATATTTTCCAATAATGCCTTCGCATTATTGTAGAGCTGGTACCAATAAGCAATATAAAGATAGAAGCCTTAATATTTCATCGATGTATAAAACAACTGTATAAAACACATTGCGAAGAAATAGAAAAACCAATTGACATAAAAGCATGTATGAGATGATTTTCAATTCAGAATTTAATTTTGGCTTTTTTCGGCCAAAATGTCTTTCTAAAACACCACACAAAGAGTAAATACTTCACCTTTTACTCTGACAATTGCAGCAATCGAAAAAAAACTTTAATAAAGACCCCAACGGTGCAAATGTGCAGTGGAATGAAATTTGTGCTATAAAAGTAATCAAGAGTAAACCATTTACAATTTTTTACAAAAAGTCATATTCAGAAAATGAATTTAGTGAAATAGCAACATTAAACCTACAAAGGTGTATAAAGCACCCATTAAAATTTCGCAAGCAAAAAAGAAGGATTTGGTGGATTTGTGTAACAGTAATGCAATTCCCGGTCAATACTCGACTTTTTATAAAGAGCTACCCTGTACGTTAACAACAGCTACAGCAGATAATAGGGATTCCGATTAGAAGTGTGTAGTTTAGGTGAGATAGTTTGCAGGATGAATGTGAACAGACTGGTCTATTTACCGCGTATAATTATGTTTAAAGTTTTCTATAACAAAAAAATAAATCAATCAAAAAAAAGCAATAAATCTGTATCTTGCTGACTAAAAGACGGTCCACCTCAACATAGGAAAGAAAGTGGTTAACGTACGGTAAATAAATGGATCAGACTTTAGTCTGTTGTTTATTACAATTTGAAAAAACCTGTAATCTGTAACATTTAATTTCTCGAAACAGTGATTTTTGACTTGTTGCTGTATGGAACTAAACCATCGATATGGGTTTAACCAATTGCAAAACCATAACTGAGTTATTATAAGACTGGGTCCAGGTATTTATGGATTCAAGAGTTTTCGGTCGTCGGCATCTCAGGAAGGACAAACGAATGGGTAAAACAAGCCTATAGGTTTCCCCAAAGAAGAAGAAGAAGAAGAAGAAGAAGATTTTCATGCTCAGCAAGTTTACAGTTGATTCCAAGGAGTTGACGAAGCAGACGCAAGGTGCACTTTTGCTTGCTTCTTTTCGCCTCATATTCACATTAAGGTCCATTAGAACCAACTTGAAAAATATTCTTCCCTCAACGGCCGTTGGATTTTATACTGGAAGAAATACCGTAATGCCACTTGGGTAAAACTACGATAGAAACCGCACCTAGAAGAATTAATTTCGAAAATCCTTGCCATCTCAAATCAATTCATAGTGGCCCAATTTGCGTTGCTGAACGCATTTCACACCAGACACCGTCAAGTGTACCCAGTTTGACATTTTCACCTTGAAATGCGTAGAAAAATTTCCGTTTCTTTCCAAAACTATTGAAAAATACTGAGCCTAGCAAGATGGCCAAGCATTTCTATTCGTATCAATTCGACATGCCTTATAGGGCAACCTATTTGAGAAACTGGGAAGTGCCTAAGTTCTACTGCCCTAAGCCTCGAAGAAGAATAGGTGGTACTACCATAATATCCAATTCTAGAGGACAATTGTTACCTGGAGTACCTAGGCCTCCTTGCAACCCTTTTGGAGACTTTACAGGTACCACTTTTCAATCTTTACGACCTTTTTTTACTTCTATAAACCATAAGATTTGTTGATTTTATTGGTCATTTAAAAATCAATTTTCGATTTGATTTGAGTACTAAAATGCACTTTTCTTAGCTCAGGAATTTCTGAAATCTAAGCAAAATAGCTAGTCGACTCTATTGGCGGTATTTCAGGTACTTGGCAAATGCCAAAGCAAATCACCCGAAAAGTGGCGAATAAACTAAATGGATTAACTGATAAGGCAGCTTTTATGGAAAACTGCCGAAGAATTGTAGCAGCTCCATTGAGTAGGCCTGAGCGATATTCGAAAAAAGCCCCCGCAGAGTTAGTGGCCGAAAATAAACCGGACGAGAAAAAAACCGATGAACTTGAAAAGCCGAAAAAAGCTATTTGCCCCATACATGATTTCTGAATTTCGGTTTATAATTCATTATCGATAGGGCTCGAATGCTTTTCAATAATAAAATAGACTTTTCTCCTACTTTTGCAGTCGGCATTATAAAATCACTACACAATGCATGAGTGTCAGGAGCAGCTCCTATATCACCGAGGAAGATTCAAGCCTTGCCTGACTGGAAATCCTCCGGGGACTTGTTGTCATTTTCCCGGGATTTCTGTCTTGAAATAAAGGTGTTCGTCTCTGGGAATAATAAGAACGTCTAACGTTGTCAGGATTCCCAACAAAAACGAGTGAAAGCGACGTGCAATTCACATTGCTATTTGACAGTTAAAACTTTGATGCAAAAGATTGTTTCTTTTATGGAAAATTTACGATTTTTCACTCAGCAGCAGGAGATAACTTAGGCGCATACTCTGCCAACATTGGAAAGTTGTGTGACTTCCTTCGTTCCGTCGAACTCGCGAATAATTTATTGTTCTTCTACTCAATCAGCCCATACATCGCGCGAAAAATATTCGCCAACTAAAGTTCATTTATACTTGAAAACAGAGCAGGGTTTTTAGATTGCCTGAAAGCAAACGCTAATAAATGATGAAAAGGATGGGAGGAATTAAAGGAAAAAGCAGGCTTCATTCTGAATTCTACCTATTCATTAAATATTTTTTTAGGGTGAGGATTGGTCATGGATTTGGAGATACGAGCCGTTTTTTTGGATTTCCGATGGGTTGAAAACAAAAAATTACACTTTCAATTGTTCTAAAAAGACTTACATCATTCTGAAAGCCAGCAAAACGCAAAAATCTTACATGGGATCGCAAATAAACAAGCCAATTTCCTTTGATGATTTTTTTATGAATGACTTCAACCATAAAAAATTGAAAATTGACGAAAGGAAAATGTTTTTGTTCAATTTTTATCATTCAACCAACATTAAACGCTTACTATAAATAGATCTTATTTTTTTCATGGGGATCAAGTAATGAAAAGTCTTGGAATTTTCGCTTTCTTAGAATTGCATCTGCTAAGGGCTTTGATAAAACAAAATCAGCTTGATTCATTTTATGTAAAACTGTATTTGTGTAATATTTTCGTCCACTGTTGCGCTTCATTTTTCTATTATTTTCAAAATTTATATTATCGTTAATTTTTGAAGAACCTGACCCGCGGACAAGTGTTGAATGATTCTCTTTCCTTTAAAATAATTATCTAAATAATAATTATTTGGACCAGAATTGCTATCAGCAACAGACATTTAAGTAATATTAATGAGAAAAAACGCCTTTTGTTGGCTGGATTTAATTAACTGTTGTAAAATGTCTGTCTGATTTCGCCTTTAGCAAATTGCTCGGTTTATTCGTGACATAATTGTTATGAAAAAATTGACCTTTTCATGTCGCGGCAGTTTTGCTTGTATTGTTGTGTCTTTCAGCTGATTAAATTACTGCAACTTTCAACAATGAGAATTTTAACAGATTAAAAATAAATACACATCTCAGTTTTAGTCTCTCCATCGGGTTAGAATCATCATCTAATGAAATATTTTTTCACTTTGATTAAACCCTCATGAACTGCCGAATAACTAAAACCATTCAGGCCCTTTCCAAGTATAAATCGAACATGAGATCACGCATTTGACCCTTGGACTTTAGGCATACCCTTCCAGGGTTATAAACGAGGGCACTCAACTTGAACTATGATTTACAGCCGCGGTCTTAAGCTAATTTGCATAAGAGAAAAAGTGGCCGCTAAATTTAACGAAGGCCTGGGCAATTTACAGGTGTCGGTGTTGTACAAACAGTGCAGCTCTAAAAGTAAATAATCGGCTCAATTACGTGTGCTGGAAAAATTCCCTGGTTTAAGTGTGGATATAAGGCTATGTAGTATATGTTACATCTAAAGCCATTAATTTTACTTTCGCTTTCGTGCCGATGTTTGGACGGTCGGTTTTTATCGTCCTTTTTCGATGGGACTAAAAGGATAATTTTTCAGGAGATGGCTTTCTTTTGCAAACATGACACCTTTATCTGAACGTGATTCGTTTCAATTGGAGAGATCTGCTAAGAATTTCCATATTAAAGCACAAAGGGATTTTAATAACAACCCGATACGAATCCCTTGCATTTTTGTGCATCTTCTAAAGCCTGTGCATATTGCTTTGGCAATATCCAGATGGGAGCAGCTTTTAGGGCTCGAAATTTTTAAAAGGGGATTTATTAGATTCTGTGTACAAAAGGTTTCTGTCAGTTTTCGTTTCTCGCATATCTCCTTCCAGCTGGGAATTTCTATTCAAATTTATGCCTTCAAAGAGTAAATTTTATATAAAATTTAAACCTTTTTACAACGAAATGTAACACTATCTCTCAAGTCCTAAACGAACTATTATAATAATGAAGTTTACGTTGTACTTTAGAGGCACCGTTGCAATTTTATTAGCGGTTTGCATAGAGTTTTCCAGGAGTTGAAAACATTCGAAAATCACAAATAACTTCCTTCGCCTCGTCTTATCCAAATACAAATTATTTAAATCAAGGTGATGCTTTCCGAGATGTTTCCCGGGAGATTCGACTGACGAAAGTGTAATTTTGGACTATCAAAAAGTAGTATAACATGTAATATTTATGCAATGAGGGGTAGTTTTCTACAGAGAGTTTCGTTTTTTAAGTTAACAAATAGAGGCTATGTAAAAATGGGTTAGCAACGGTGAGTTTTCGAAATATTTGACATTCTATCAAAATTCTAGGTTTATATTTATGCTCCATGCATATAGCATTGGATGATCTTTCTCGAAACTATCGTCTTTTGAATAACGCAATATTTCAGTTTGGTAAATATTATAATGAATCCTTGCAAAAGAAGCTTAAACCTAGACAAATTTCATATGTCGAAAAATAACAATTTTATTTATTTTAACGTCGAAAAAATTTCCTTTCAAATCACGACGTAAGATGCGATTCCAAGATTCCTGTAAATAATGAAAGCTGATGTTGTGAAGCGAGGTTATGAGGTCAAGTTGATTTGTGCGTTGATGAATTGGGCAGTTTTCTAATAAAACTCATGTAGTTGAAGTACGTAGACCAATCCTTTGGGAACAAACGGAATTTTGAATCTCTGAATTAGTTCCATTTTAATTAACTTCAATTTTTTAATCTTTTCTATTGAATTTCAACCCCTTCGATTCTTGATTTACGAATTTGTTGTACAATGGTTCATTTAGTTTTTGCAAATTGCTCAGTTTTTTTGTGGCATGGACAATTCGACTTGCCTTTGTTGCGATAGTTTTGCTTGAATTGTTTTGTTTTTCAGCTAACGAAAACAAAACTGTACTATTAAAAATAACCACTTCTGCCTGTTTCTTACGCAAAACATTTTCCTAACAAATGATATCTGGATATATTGAGAATAATATCCTTCTAAATAAATATAAAATTAAAATAATCCAGTGCTTAAAACATTTTCGTTTTTATAGAACCATAATCTGCATGTTTCACAATCGGCATGTTTTGGCGCAAGATAATCCGCATGTAATTCGATAAAATCACTTTCAGCCCAAAATCAATGTTAGCGTGTAGATGCAAATTGGGAACAGTCGTAGTTTTAACGCAACTTTTCTTCCATTGGTGGATGCTGTAGATTTTATTCTTATCGTTATAAAACACACACTTTCGACAATATCAGGTATTTGCGTTAAAGAAAACTAATTGGTTTCAAAAAAATGTAAAACACTTGCACAAAAAATAATTGCTGTTTTAGAACGATTCTAACAAG